TGCCCCAGCCCTGCCCGCGGGGCGGGGGCGGTATCGGCAATAATCCCTCCCTGTGAGGGTCAGGGGGCTGGCACAGGCTGCCCAGAGAAGCTGTGGCTGCCCCTGGATGCCTGGCACTGTCCTGCCTGGCAGGACGGGGCTTGGAGCACCCTGGGACAGTGGAAGGTGTCCCTGCCCATASCAGGGGGTGGAATGGGATGAGCTTTAAGGTCCCTTCCAACCCAACCTATTCTATGACGACTTAAACAGAGCACTGCCTTGCTTTGACATCAACTTGCTTCCACAAATCCATGAAGGATTGGTGTTTTTTTTTTAAAGTCTGCCCCTTAATTCCAAAGGCTATGCGAAGCGCAGTGTTGGAAGCAGYGGGAGCAGAGGGATCCCAGGGCGCAGCAGCAGCGCACAGGCAGCACAATGGTGTCCTGTGACAGCTCGGCTGGACCTGGGCAGCTGGCACAGCGCTGGTCACTCAGCCCCGGACACTGGGGCCTGGCAGAGCCAGGGCGGCCTCACAGGCCATCTCTCGGGCAGGACAACTGTGCCTTCTTGCTCCAGTGGGCTCTTCTGGAGCAGCAAAATTGCTTTGGGAGCAATGTATATCCTTGCTCCAGTGAGTAGAACATGTTCYTCTGCACCAGTTTTCTTTCCAAGGTGGAGAGTTTAAATATAAAATTCTATTGTTTAGTTGGAGATCTTGCCGGGGCTGAGGGGCAGCATAMGGGATATTGTGCACCACCAGTGGCCCTGTTTGGGTAACAAAGCTAATCTGGGCACACTWGTGCAGTTAACTACGACACAAATACTAATCATAAGATAAGATTCAGGAGATAAAAGGAGTTCCGTACATTTGACTTCCGTGAGCAGAGTGACATTGCAATCCTGCCTCTACTGCTGAGATCTGTAAAGAACTTTGCTAATGTTTGAGCTGCTTTATAAGATTAATTTCTCATTGTCTGAATCCAGCAGAAGTCAGCTGAAAGCTCTTTTAAGGCCTGTAGGAGTTACACATTGAGAAGGGCTTGCAGATTTGTTCTGATTTCTGACACAACTGAGAAATTCTTTCTGTTGCTGCTGTACATTTCTGTACCACACAGTGCTCCATCTGTCAACAAAACATCGAGCAGAAAATACTAGGCAGTTACTCATAAATGTGCTTAAGTGAYAAACGAAACCTCACACAGACACACGTGAGCCAAGGAGTGAGGCAGCACCAACTAACTCAGCACTAAGGAACTGGAAAATGAGTGAAAAACCAGTTTATTTGGCTGTTCCATTTTTTCCTGAGATTCCCTATCATATACAAGACATATGAATACACCACTTGAATCAATAACGTCTTTCCAGCTGTCAAAAGGTTTTACACTGCAATGAGTYGATTCAGACTCAAATGAAAAAGAAGTGCAGAGTAAATTCCATAACAAGATGTATACTGTAAATATTTTGTGTAAAGAACTGGACAGAATTCTGTATGTTTTAGGGTTTTTTTTCTGATTTGGAAAAGGAAAATGAGATTTTAACCAATGTAATAGTTAATGTTTTTATAGAAACCGAAATGAGGAACAAAGTTCCCCATATATAATGAAAAAATGCTACATAGTTCCTGTCGTCTTACCCAATTCTAAAGTAAAAAAAAAAAAAAAATTAAATTATTTTTTTCATATTTTTGCCATTAGATGCATATTCCCTGCATCCAATCCCAGCTATTAAGGGACAGCTCCCTCCTCTGGAGCACTTTATCTTTGCACTSAGAACATTGAACTGTGATATCACTSATTYCATTAATCTCTTTTAAAATYCCTTTGACCTGTAGCACAAAAAACAAAGRTATTTTGGACTGACTGTATCTAGAAATAAACTCTCGCGCATATGGATTGATGCTGCCGCAGAAACAATTTCTATGTTGTTGTCTGTAAAACAATTAGGTTTAACTTCAGGGCATTTGTAACTAAAAATTAAGTACATTTCCCCAGCCAAAGCAAAACACATGTTTTGGGAATTTGAATATTCTACATGGAAGGAAATGKATTTCGCTTTACAAACAGGTGTTTCTGGAGGTGAGTCACAGAGGAAAAGATGAAGAAAAAATAGAAGGCACTGTAATTTCAGTGAGAGGCTTCTGAGCAGGGAGACTTTCTGATTTATTGATTACACCACTGCTTGAAAAAATAGAAATAATTTGTCTCTGTAAATAGAAGTGGAACAAAGAAGCTTGTCTTCATTACTACTTTTTTCCCCTTATAGAAACTGAAATTTTGCTTAATTTCTTGCATGAAAAGAAAACCACAATTACTATATAGATCAATTGCATCTAAATTAAGCCAAGTTTTCAAACTCAATTGCCACACAGAGCTGCATATTTTACTGCCAAAACATAGGCACACAAAYTTCTATTTGTAAGATCTAATTCTTCTTAATCTGTTTAGGGGTTAGCAAAGGAAGTTAAGGAAATAATTAGTCTCACAAAGCAATGGAATTTAAGAAATCTGGTTCGAATTTGAATGAAATTGGCCTAGAGGATCAAAAATTATTCAAAGGGATCTGACAGGCAGAGTGACTCTCAGACCACAGCCTGCCTTGCACAYCTTGTTTCCCTCAAGAAACACGATTTAAAAGAGGACTGTGGATCACAACAGAATTTAAGTGCTTTGTGATATACTAAAAGCTTAGAAATTAATGTTTGAGGTGGCTGCATAATGTGAAATTTTAGATTATCAAGGTATAAATATAAATAAATATAAATAAATATAAATAAATATAAATAAATATAAATCACAAATGACTGAAATTTGCTTAATCCTTGAGATGTGACTTCCCACAACACAGATGCAATGGGAGCAGTTGTGCTGAGGGTTTATTGCAGGAACAGCTTTGCCAACATAATATTTGAAGGTTTTTTTGCCGAGCAAATGCTGCTCCCTTAGGAATAAACCCCTTCGAGCGTGGAAGCAGGCAATTATCCATTTGACAGATTTGCTTTGCTGTATATTACATGTAACAAAGCAGGAAATGAGACTGAAATATAAAATAAGGTGCTGATTTTCTGCAGTTTTTCTAATGAAATTACAGTAATCAAACAGAAACAAGCAGTAAGGTTTCCTTTTCACCTAAACTAGAAACCAGAAGTGTTTTCTAGAATAGAGGCAACCTGTGGGGGTTTTTTGTTTGTTTTTTTCCTGAGTTATTATTTTAGCAGCATGGGGCTGGTTATTCATTTCTTGAGGAAAAACCAATAATCAATGCCTGCCAGCTTTTGCTTTTTATTTAATTAGGAACATAGGACTGGAAAGAACCACCTAGGTCATCAAGTCCAGTTTCTAATTAAACACTCTTCAAAAATATTGATTAATCAAAGTTKCATAAATATGGTAGGTTTTAAAACACTGTATCCTCTGCAGAGATTGTAAGTGATCTTCTGGGGTTTTTTTGTTTGTAAGGATTTTTTAGTATAAAGAGTGACTATTATTTTTAATGCAAAGAGCTCATCATGTAGATATTTGACTTCCAGTAATTTTATGTGACACAATTACAATATTTCAGGCTAGAAATTAGCAGCACTTGATCTATGATTATTATTAAATCTCCATGTTAATTTTAATACTTCAGCTGCCTCAATCGATTGAAGAAATTGGCCATATCTAAAGAGTTAAGATAAATYGATTCAGTGCTAAAAAATCCATTAGTGTGTTCCCCCTATATTTAATGTATTCTTGACTATGAAAGATGCTGCYGCAATTGGGAATACACATTTTAAACATTAACTGTTAAAATAATTTTAACCAGAAAGTAACTGCAATTGATTTTGCCATACTAGAACGAAAACATGAAATTACCAGAAATRTTGTGTGTCAGATTTGAATTTATAGAGAAATAAGGGAAAACCAATTTCTTTTATAAATTAATATTTTACATTAATTTATRTAGTTTTATTTAAATGAAGGGACTGTAATTTAAGTCAGGTACACTTCTATGGACGGAGCTGTAAAAATATGAGAACAATTTACAGCTCCAGCTGCATTGGAGATGGAAGCCTGGATCCTCTCCTGTTGTTCCTGCAGCCCAGATCCTTACATGGCATTTTATGTGCACAGCTGCCAAACCTCGGAGGGCTCRGCATATTTATCCCAGCCTGGACAACTGCAAAATGTTCCGTTTGAAATTACCCGAAGGCTCTGTCTGGACAAGAGCTTGGGGTGGCTYCTGGACTCTGTCTTGGTCCAGGGTGAGAATGTGACCGGGCCGCAGGAACAGAGCGGCGATTCTGCCCCTGCGCGGGGCACTGCTGAGGGGCACCAGGGAGAACATGGAGGGGCTGGAGCATGTCCCACAGAAGGGAACGACGCTGGGGAAGGGTCTGGAGCCCCAGGAGCGGCTGAGGGAGTTGGGAAGGGGCTCAGCCTGGAGCAAAGGAGGCTCCGGGGGAGCTTCTGGCTTTGCACAGCTCCCTGACAGGAGGGGGCAGCCAGGGAGGATGGGGCTGTGCTCCCAGGGAACAGGGACAGGAGGAGGACATTGGCTAAAGCTGTGCCAGGAAAGGTTTGGCCAGACATCAGGAAGAATTTCTTTCCAGAAGGGCCAATTAGACATTGGGGGTGCCCAGGGAGTTTTGGTRTCCCATCCCTGGAGGTGTCCAAGGCAGGCCTGGTCGTGGCACTCAATGCTCTGGGCTGGTGACGAGGTGGGAGATTGGGCACAGGGTGGAYTCGATGGTCTTGGAGGTCTTCTCCAACCTCAGTGATTCTGTGATCCTGTGAAGTGAGAGGAACAACCTGGGATAGTGGCAGGTGTCCCTGGCCATGGCAGGAGGGTGGAATGAGACGGTCTGCAAAGACCCTTCGCACCCTGACCATTCTGGGTTCACAATGCCCAACCGCGGGACCGCCTCAGCGACCCCGCTCCGCCCACTGCATTTTGGCGCCAAMAGCCCTGAGCCGCCGTCCGGGAGCTCGCGAGACTCTGTGCTCTCGCGGGATTTGGGGCGCGCGGGGGTGGCCCCGCCCCTCAGCCCGCCCCGCGCTCCCTCACGGCCGGAGCCGCCGGGAAAGCGCTCCCCAAACCGAGCCCTTCCTGATACCGGCTCAGCCCAGCCCCGCTCTGCCCGAAGCCTCTGGGATTAGTCGCATTTCAGGAGCCTGAAAAGGGGAATCCTCCTCCAGACCGCGTTTCAAAGTGGGTGAGCTGTAAATTTGGGGAATTGCCACGCCACCCCCACGCAGCCTTTGGCTCAGAGGTGTAAGTGGCACACGGCTCCATGGATAAGCGGTGTGGTCAGAAATCCCCGTATTTTGGTTTATTCCTGCCACTTCCGAGTAACTTTGACGAGTTGAAGCATGACAAACCCGTATTTTATTCGCCTCAGTGAGGCTGGGTTGTGTTATCATCTGTATGGCATCTGCTGTTTAGTTTGTTTGATGATCTGGTTGGCAAATATTTTTCTGAAAAAGCTGTAAATACTGTATATAATTGTTGTTTATTTGCCTCTGTGGCAGCCTCGCTGCTTTCTTTACCCGCTTTTGGTGTTTTCTGCAGGAGGAGAAGAAAGGCTTTGTGGCAATGTTAGATCCTTTAGAGAACAACTTGTTTGATCTTCCCGATTATGAGAACACAGAAGATGAAACATTCCCACCTCTTCCACCTCCTGCCTCTCCTGGAAGAGCCGATGCTGAATGKGCTCAGGCTGATGGAGGTGAACACCCATGACCCCTAAAATCCCATTTAATGYTTTGCAATCGAAATTAGTGGTGTGAACTTCACTATGTTGAGTTCACTGCATAAAAACAGGCAGAAAACAAACTGTAAATTTAAATTGTTAATCATGCAACACCTTCCAGCTTGTGGGAAAAGTTTATTTTTGTAGATTTTATGGAAGTACGTGCACAAAGAAATCTTCATAAAATTCAAATTCTGACAAAATGTTGGTACAGATAATTACACAGCAGTGGTCTATAGTTACACTTTATGACTTGGCTTTTATWACAGAGAAGAGTGTTGGATGCACTCTCAATGCACTTAGCAGGAATAGAAGTAGAAACTTAAAATGTACCCAATGCTATTCTAGGTGATGAGAATTGCATTGAACACATAAATTATGCTGTTTTCTTCCCCCGATCCAGATGGAAACCAGCAATCCCACACAAAGGATACTGCTGTGACCACACAAAAAGCAGTTAAAAGACCAAGGCCCAGATTAGATGCCCAGAGGTAACTATACAGAATATTTCTTTGTGTGATGAGTTTAGTGTAGGGCYATGGGAGAATGATGAAGATACCTCTAAAACTGGTGTAAGTTCTTTATAATCAACAGAAAGAATCCAGGCTTTAGGCTGTTTTAGGGAATATGAGAGGTTTTTCTTTGGGTTTTTTTTTTTCTTTGTTAATTGAAAGAGGAAAGTGTGGGTTTCAAATAACTTCACCCATTTCTTGTTCACAGATTAATTTCTGAAAGAGGACTACCAGCCCTCAGACACATGTTTGACAATGTGAAGTTCAAGGGTAAAGGGCATGAGGTAAGACCTGGTGAGCTTTTGTTTTGTTTCCTGGRAGGTTAATCTAGATTTGACAGAGTGCTTCCCATCTGACACAGGGAGAATTGACAGTACTCTGGTTAGCCAGCTTTTCAGCAGTATTTTAACAAACCCTGATGGGGTTTGGAGCTGTAAATTCTAAAACAAACATGAGTGCTTTAAGAAAACCCATCTTTTGATCATAAAATTATTTTCCTCAACTCTGAAATTAGAATATCACATCTGTGACTCTTGTATTGTCCACAGGATAAGGTTTTGGAAAAAAAAAGTGACACGCCACTTGAGCAAAGAGAAAGAAGTATTTTCTCTACAAGCTTTCTTATTGTTTTGGATGTGCTTAAACATACAGAACTTATTTTCCTTTACACATCATCATAGAGTTGGTCATAAACAGGTGAGGGTCAGTCTCTTCTCCCAAGAGAAGCAATAGGGCAAGAGGAAACAGCCTCAGGTTGTGCCAGAGGAGGTTTAGGTTGGTTATTATGGGAAATTTCTTCACCAAGAGTGTTGTACAGCCTTGGGCAGCCTTTGCTGTGGAGTCATCATCCCTAGAGGGATTGAAAAGACAAACAGATATGATACTTGGAGGTATGTTTTAGTGGTGGACTTGGCAGTGCTGGGGGAATGGTTGAACTCGGTGATCTTAAAGGACTTTTCCAAACCCAAACAATTCCATGATTTTCTTGGCACACTTGCAAGGACACCTGTGCATCTCTGGTTTATGGAGAGCATCCATGGTATAAATTATCTCATTACCACTGGAGGCACAAAGAAYGGGCAATAGGGCTGAATAGTACCAAAATCTTTCCTAGATCAGCTTATTTGGATGTATCTGCATTGCCCCTATGGATTTATTTCAGCCTGGGTTCAGCCCTGCTTGTTTGAGGGCAGTGCTTCAGGACCTGGCAGGTGTTTTACAGGCAGATGCTTGCCTGAACTTGTATCATGGCTGTTCTCACAGCCTGAGATTACACTTACACTGGACTGTGGGAGGAGGAAGGAAAGGTTACCCACACATTCATACTGCTTACATTTTCCAGAGACTGTCAAGCTACAGAGGCTTCATGTTTTCAGGAGTTACTGTTCCCTTTCCCTCTACAGTCTCCTGGCTTTGTCAGTTTTAGTAGCTCAGTGTCATCTTTTCTGTTCTAGGCAGAGGACCTAAAGACATTGATGCAACACATGGAGCACTGGGCCCACAGATTGTTCCCAAAGCTGCAGTTTGAGGATTTTATTGACAGAGTGGAGTCTTTGGGAAACAAAAAGGAAGTTCAGGTATGAATTGTTTCTGTCAGTCTCTCTTCCTGCTGTTTGGAGTAGTGCAAGAGGTAGGTTTAGGGGATCAATTATGTAGCAAAAGGAGACTTAGGTTGTGCATATGGCTAAGAAGAATAATGTTATTTAAATTAATTTCTATTTAAAGCTCTTTTTGGTATTTAAGTTTATATTTAGATACAGCCTTTCTTTACTTGAATTTAAACTTCAGAGAATTTGCTTCAGCATTTTCATGACATCTTTAGCCACAATAAGTTGTTTAAGAATGCTGAAACTGGTTGGGTTTTTGGGTTTTGTTTGGTTTTTAATGTTTGAGCCTGCAAAAGAAGACTGATGAAAAATTCACCTGGCTGGGTGGTAGATGAAGGACTGGCAAGATGATCCACGGCATTAAAGGTGTCTGTCAAATGGACATGGAGCAAAAGGAGTATTTTCTTCAGAGTAATAAAGTGCAAAATGAAATTTTGTTTTTCTCATAATCCCAAAGTTGAACATAAAAACTTGCTGCAGATGAAATACCAGTTTTAATCTCCCATTTGCAGACCTGCCTAAAGAGAATTAGACTTGATCTTCCTATTTTACATGAAGACTTCAAAAATAATGAAGGTATGCTCTTTATGCTATTTGTTCAGCCTGTGCTTGCGAATGGTGTTTTGGGGGATGAGTTCATCGGGGTAAAAGCTGGCCTCACCTGTGGGGTGACCTGTGGGCAGCTGGTGACACGTGGCTGTCTTCACTGCTGGCTGCATTGGTGAGAAGTGCACTGCAGCCAGAAGCAGCCATGGACAGCAACATGAGTGGTTCCTGCCGACAGGGTCTGCAGAGTTATCAGATGTTCTGTGCGATGGTTCCATACATTGGGATGTGAATGTAGGGCTGAGCTGCTCCTGAACTGWGTGCACTGCTACAGCCTTCAAGGGTAAAACTGGAGTAGGTACCTCACAGGTGTGAAATAAAAACTCCAGCTGGGGTGTTGTATTAACCCAACCTTTTTGTCAGTTCACATTTCTAAAGTGGTGCAGAGGCCTTGGGCTCTCTCAAATGTGCTCTGCTGCTCTCTGGRTAGGTGAAGCTTGTCTAATTGAACGGCCTCCATGTTGCACATTTCTCTGCTGGCAGATGAGTAAATATCTCCGTAATAACACAGTGAATTCACAACTGAGGACTCGATGTGTATGCTCAAACCTCTGCTTCAGAGAATCCTGGAAGGTTTGGGTGGGAAATGACCTTAAAACCCATCCTGTTCCACCCTGTGCCGTGGTCAGGGACACCTTCCATCAGCCCTGTCCAAYCTGGCTTTGAAATGTTGGAATTCCTGCCACTTTCTAAAGGACAGTGTTTTATTGGTGGGATTGGGAGGAAAATTACCTGGCCTCTCCATAAGGATAGCCTGGATTTCCTGTCCCTTTTGACCCTTCAAGCATAACTGTGGTTGCTAACCCAGTACACAGCTTGCCTTTCTATGCTCGGGCATTGATTATTTTTGTATATGTGAGCTCTGAGCATTTGTTGTGTCATTTGAATATTGGGGATGGGGGCCTAAGCAGGAAATTGCCCATTAAAATATAATTATGGAATGATCTTTAGCTGTCCATACAAAATGTAGAACATTGGAATGCATTCAGAATGTTTTCTCAACTGATGTGCAGTGGATCTCTGTGGGTTTAAAATGTTGATTTCTGCYTCTCTTCCCCCTGCCCACCCCTTGTTTTAACCAGAAGGAGAAGGGGAAAGCAATGGACTGGATCCAGCTGCTCAAGATGCACATTCCTACTCTGGAAATGCAGAACTGAATTCCCTGCCTGGTACAAGTCTGACCGAGGAGCAGAAAGAGCGGATGAAGAAGAACCGKCAGCTGGCCCTGGAGCGGAGGCAGGCGCGGCTGCAGGGCCTCAGCCAGTCCCAGCCCCAGGGTAAAGATCCCAATCTCAGTGCTCCCCAAAAACAGTGAGGGCAGTGGCCTGAATTGCTGGGGCATGCACTGGTGGCTTTTCTGGGAAGTGCTGAAATGTACAACTGACATTTGAACRGTTTTCCTGTAGTTCAGCTCCCTGGTTGTTGTGCCAAGCTGTGGCAACTTGGTCTTTGGTGAAATGGAACTCAGCTCCTTGGTTATCTCTGAGCTGCCTTTGCCCCAGACCGGCATCCTGGTGATGGAAACATCACCTCAGCACAGCAGCAGTGTTTGCTCATGCTTTTTCTTTTTTTTTTTTCCTCAACAGAGCTCCCCAGTAGTTACTCAGAAGAGMAGTTTAACAGCCCAGTTGCTCAGGATCCCACTGACCTTACTGAAGACACTCAGGTTCCTGCAGCCAAGGATGCTCTCACAGAAGATGGAGATGAGGAATTGGAACCTACAAGGGAAGAGCAGTAACTTYCCCACACTGTGAATGCCTTTCTTGACCAAAGACCCTCCTGCTTTAAGAACTGTCATTGTACTGAGATATTGCTGGCTCTTGGCACTCCAGAAGCTTCAGGGAAGTCTTTCCCATGGCATCACTGAAGGACAGAACTCTTCCCCAGAAACTGCAGAGGAGAAGCCCTGTACACCAGGGAACAGAATAAAGTTCTTCACCTGCACTTGAGCCATCTTTTCCACCTCCCACAACATTTTTTAGGAAATGTTATTGAGTTTTTGGACCTACTTTGAATGTAGTTTATAATTTATGTCAAACTGAATTAATTGGGATGTTGACTGGTTAAGTTTCTATTAAAGTTGCATTGTTTGGGTTTTTTTAACAGGTCTTTTTGGGTCTGAACAGGGGTACTGGATTTTTTTAAACTACTTATCCATTACTTACATACTTTTCTTATAAAATGGAAACTATTAAATTTCAGAAGTCAAACCTGAAATTCTTGTATGAGGCCTTCCAAACTTCCCCATCCTTTGAGTCAGACATCTCTTCCCAGACAAGTACCTTCCTTCAGGRAACAAGACCTTCCTTCACCTGATCCTCCTCTATGCTTGAGGCTCTGCTTTATCCTCTCCTTAGAGTCTTGTTTTTCCTTACACAACAGCTTTTCCCTTTTGTAGAATGAAGAGGAATTGCCGCCTCCACTAGTAAAGAGTACTAGATTGCTAGACACTGAATTAAGCCACTATCCTCAGGGCAACAGATTATTTTATGAAGGAWTTTGCTTTTTATATTGTAGGGAAGAAGGAAGTATTTAGGTTTTAAGAACTTAATTTATGGATAACATAAAGTAACTTTTTGAATTATATTCAAAAGAATTGACTGCATGGTGTCTTTAGTCTGAAATATGAGCTTTATCAGGTATAAAATATTTTCATAATTCATCCATACTCATAATCAGATAAAAATAATTCTTATTTAAAATAGACATTCAGGTTCTTATTAAAAGGATTCTTGAATATTTAAATAAAATGCTTTTTAAAAAATCCCCAACCACTTGTGCACAGTGAACAGGAGCAGGAAGCCCCAGGCAGCTGTTGGTAGATCCCAGCTCAAGTCCTGATGTCCTCTGTCACATCCAGCAGCGCCAGCTCCYGGATCTCCTCCAGCAGCTGGTACAGGCTGGGCCCCTTGGTCTGGCAGAACTCCCGCGATTCCTCATCCATCACTTCCACCCTGGCTCTCTCTTGGGCACGCTGGGCTTCCTCTGCAGACTGACTCACTTCTTTCACCAAATCAGATTTCACCACATGGAAATTCTTCTGGGTGGCCTCGGTGTCTGCAGTGTGGTGTGGTGCATTCCTGATTATTTCCAGTTTGATGGTGTCGGCATGGCAGCGGGAAGTCTGCACAAGGATTCTCACCTGGAAAGCAATATTTTTWTTAAATTTCTGGTGGTGCCATTTCCTTTCCACACCCTCAGATGAGATACTCACTGTGATGTGATCAAAAAGGCTCAGTGTCACCGAGTCTCCAGTAGTTGTAGTGGAGGTGATTTTATGCTGAGAACGATGGAGGGATCCAGCCTTCCATTGGCAGCCCCCAGCCCCTTGGCAGGAGATGACCAAACCTTCTTTATTTTTCATGTAGGCTGCACCTTTGATTCCATATCTACAAAAGARCAGAGAGAAGCTGTTCTAACCATTTTCAGCCTTTTCAGATCTCTTAGTTTTGCAACCCACAGGCTGGCTGGGATCATAGAAAAGCAACAGGAASGAGCAGGCACAGCAACCTGATAATCCTGTGCCAGGGATGCTGGATAGGTGTTGTCAAAGAAACCCAGATGTGAAAACAGCATGAAATGACTGAAGTGTTTTGAGAGCACTGAAGCAAAAGTGAAATAGTGATCCATTATCTTAGTGCTGGGTGGAGCCTGGAATGGCTCAATGATGGCAGAAGAGCAGCTTTACAGGTTTTTCCAGACAGACAGTGYGGAGATGGTTTTCCATTAAAAAGCAAGCTACTGGAAGAGCAGCAGCGTGTTTGCCCTGGTCTCTGTAAGGCAGCCTTTCCTGGCTGGGGAGGTTCTMGCTCTTGAACCCTGTGCAATGCTGACATAACAGATCTCCACTGAGCTGGTTTATAGCCAGGCTGTGCCCTCCCAGCATTCCAGTAACCCCCAGGTATTTCCTAGCCTGTTCCCAGCCATGGGACTCACCGGGGCACAAAGACGAGTACGCCGTTGGTGCGGATGGAGTAGATGACCCCGTCAGCCACRCAGCGCTCGTCGCTCTCGGCACTCCTGTCTCGGAAGTACATGCACTGGAAGAGCTCTGTGGACTGTTTCTGAGCACACTGGGCTGCCTGTGAGCACCCCACACACACACACAGAGACAAAAGAATTACACTGAAAGGAAATCAATCCTACATGAAATACAAATATGAAGACACTTCTACTACCACTCTCAGAAGAAAACTGATATCTAAAAAACCTCAGTGCACTACWAATAAAAATGAAGTAATGCTCGTAGTGCCCAGAAGTCAGTCAGGACTAGTATCCCATTCCCTAGGGCACCACAGAGACTCCCACAAGGACCTCCTTACCCGGTTCCTGTTATTAATGTGTCTGCACAATTCCTCCAGRTCCTTGTTACTGATGATGTTATCCTTGACATCCCCTGGGGGTCCCTTGAGAGTCGCTGCCATCAAGAGCCTGTGCACAACAACATCAGCGTATCTCCTGATGGGAGAAGTGAAGTGAGTGTACTTCTCCAGGGCCAGCCCTGCCAAGAGACAGGRAGAGAGACGAGTGATCAGAGTCATCATCTGCCTCACCCAACAGTTCAGAAATCACAGGAAAGGCAGAAAAATGACCCGGTACCATAATGGTGGAACTGCTCCTCGGGACAAGAGCCAGTTGAGAAGTACAAGGCGTTGGACATGGCGTGGGTGGCCATGGARCGCAGCAGTTTGTTCACAATGGGATCTGAGGGGTCGTTTGCTCTGTCCAGAGACTCAGCCAAAGCCTTGTTAGACCTGGCAAAAAAAGGGTTAATGCTGAAGAAAATGACACTGCTCATAATGACTTACAGTTACCAGCATACAAAACCATATAGTAATTAATTTAATAAAAATTCTCAAGCAGAATGATATTTCAATGCAGTTTAGTAACAGTTCTGCTCTAGGAAACAATTTAGAAAAAAAACAGTTTTCATCCAGTTGTCTCCTGCAACCTGGAGATCCAGGGACTGGAGCAGAATCTCTTCCTATGCAGTACCAAAGAGTGAGCTGGTCCAAAACTTATCTGTCCAAATGGGACAAGATGGGTTGCAAAACTTATCCCCCAAATGGGACAAAATGACAAGTCACAGAGGCTCTGTTGATGCCCTTCACTCTGTGATGTCCAGACTTGATTCCCCTAATGATGAAGGTCATGGCCTGATCCTATTAGCTTGACCAGGTAATTCTGAATTATTTTGAATCATTGAAAATTACTTCCTTGCACAGAATTCACCTGATCGAAACCAGTACTCTCTTACACAGGAAATACAGTGCAAATAAGGCCAGTGCAGAGCTTAAGCACTGCACTGAACAAATGCTTTGTTTGGATATGTCTAAAATTATTCAGCCACTGCCATTTGCAGTACAGCCAGCAGAATGGAGGCAGCTTCCCCTGGTCAGAACATCATCAGATAAAATTCTTTTTAAGAACTCTATGCAGTGTCTGTTTACATTGATACTCAGAGCTGGAAAGGTTTGTAATGATAACATGACCAAAGAGTTAATTGGTTAAGTTTAATCTAAAAAAACTTAAGTAATAAAAGCTACCGTGTGTCTATTGAGAAGCCTTTGGCGCTGGCACATTCCCGAAGTTCAGTGAAGAATTCCTGTCGGGGTGGAGGGTGCTGCCGCAGCAGAGCTTGGTGGGGGAAATGCTCRGAAATCCTTTTCGCCACCCAGTGGTTGGCCAGGATCATGCATTCTGCCACGGTCTCGTGCACTTCCAGCGGCTGCTTRGGGATGAGATCGTGGATATTCCGTTTGTCATCCAGCTGCACTCGGATCTCGATCCCTTCCAGCTCCAGCGCGCCGCACCTGTCCCGCTTAGCTCGGACGTGTCGTGCTATGTCGGTGAGCTTGGAAATGGCCCAAACCAGCTCAGCCAGCTTCTTCTGCCTTGTTCCTTCATCCAGGGTTTTCAGTTCCAGGATATCCCCCACCACGCTCGTGTCTCCATCCAGCAGTCCCTGTGCTGTCTCATACTCCAGCTTGTAGGCAGAGCGGATGAGGGTTTTGGTGTATTGAACCCTCAGCGTCTCRTACGATTCCTTCTCCAGCTCCCACAAGACACTCACAGCATATCTGAAAGACAACACCACAGATCTGAAATAGTTCAGGTTTGACTTAAWCTCCCATTTGAAGCACATTCAACTCTTAGAAATTTATAGATTTAATTCTGGTTGTGGATGCATCATTATTTTCATGAAACCAGTGCTCAGCATCACTGCTAATTAATGCACTTGCCTTTCAGTCTCATGCATCACAACTTAAATGRGGGCCAGCTACACAGCAGCATTTTCAATTCATCTGCTGAAGCAGAGTACCCCTAAGACATAAGATCTCCTCTATTTTAAAGCACAGCGACACTGCAGCATTATTTTTATACATTTTYATTTTACTAGTCAGATGCATCCACAATTAACATCTCTGTACCCTGAATATCCTCAAACTAGCCAGCCACCTGAGCCTGTAAACTGATATAAACTGATGTATAAAATTCACCCTGCTTGCGGTAAAACTCAAAGGTAATTTTTAATATACACKATGCTTCCAGTTGAGGATTTAGTAATTTTGCAAAATGACTTGTAAAAATCTGCCTGCTCAGAACTATTGGAAACCCTTACCTGTCCACTCCACTGAGCAGAGAGCACACGTCAGCACTGAGGACAGAGGGCAGCATGTCATAACGCCGATCYGCTAAATAATACGTTGTAGCCCTGAGGAATAAAACACAGTAACTGTTCTYCCCACCAGGACTCCTGGGTGTGCACCTCCCAGCAGGCTGGGGTACAAACACTGCTTCACAGCGTTATTTTMAAAGGTTATTCCGACAGAACACTCACAGCTGCAATACTGAAGTCAAATTATTTAAACAGCTATTTGTACAGTACAATCCTAATATTGCCTTCCTTGGTATTTCAGCTGTTATTGAGGGCAGAACCAGGGCTGGACAAAATATGCTGAATGAAGAAGAGGTGATTTCACGGCTACATTCAACATCTCTGCTGCCTACACAGTTTATACTTCTTTGCTTCTACAAAGAATACAGTTCACGAAGTGATTCACAGTTTAAGTTCAAAATAATGACAATAAAAGAAAAAAGAGAATGGAATATTTGCACATTAAAAGACAAGACTGAATATTAAAACATAAGCCTGACAAATACCTCTGGAATTAAATTCATGAAAGACTTAATTCCATTTTGTAGGTGTTCATCCCCCTTGGAATGCAAACAAGTGGTTTTTAAAAATACTTTAAGTCAAAGATGTTAAATCAGACTATAAAGCAAAGAGAAGTGAGAAGGGAAAAATAAACTTATGCTATAACTTTCAGGGAAATGTGTCCTAATAAATGCAGAACATCATTAGTTATATAATAGTTTTAATAAGCTTTAGTAAGTCTTTAACAAGACACGAAAGGTAAGAGAATGTTTCTTCCCTTCCAAAGTTTCCTTAAGGTAGCATCACAAACTTCTGAGCTCCATAAATTTTCTGATTTTTCAGAAAATAACTTACCTCGCTCTGGCCTCAACATCAGTGTATGAATTTGCTGCTACAAAATGGGTC